ACCCCGGCCAGCGGGCCACCCACTGGAACCAAGAGCCAAACCTCAGGAGACCAAGCAGCACCAGGGAGGACGGAGAACAAATATCTTATCTAATGTTTCATTCAACTGTGGTGCATTCCCAGTTTGTGGTTACTTCCTCCCTCTTTATTGTCTACTAGGGACTTTTTGCATTGCACTCTTCAAACAATTTGACTGGTTGTCACATGATTGACTGACTAGAATCGAACAATAATTCTGACAGCACAACTGTGTTACCTTTTATTAGATATGCAGCTTTGGGAAAAAAAACAGTTATTGGTTATAGTGTATTTTTACTTCAATAACTAAATACTAGTTACAGTTATAAAAACCAGTGTTGTATAAAGTATAAAAAAGCACCACAAAGTGATACTAGAGTAAAAGTACAAGTATCTTACCAAAAAATCACTTTGGTAAAAGTTAAAATACTCTTTAGGGATATTACTTGAGTAAAAGTCTTAAAACTGAGGAGAACATGTAAACTCTGAAGGTGAACCCAGGTCCAACATGAGAATCAAACCCAGAACCTTCTTATTGTGAGGGAACAACAGAAGAGCTCTAAATTTGACCTTTAATTAATAAGTTGTTCCTCTGAAGAATGACATGAAACACAAAGTCTTTACTWATAAAACCTTCCACTATTCTAATGGAAAATCTTGTTGCCATTTTCTAAGCTTAGTTTTGTTTTTAGTGGTAGTTACCAGGTCATCATTATGAAAACAGACATCGAGCAGCTTTTTCGCTCTGTTGCTATGCCATCATGATTAGTTTAAAATGTGCATCTGTTTGTAGTTATTTTTAATACAGCACAGAGACCACAGCTTCAACAGCTGCAGATGACACRTGATAACCTTTAAAACCAGATGTTTATATGTTCATGTTCCCTGAATCACCACCTTAAYGTGGTGTAGTGGTTTGAGTACCCGTGTGACCCTAGGGCTATGTTGTCKGGTGCATCAGCTCCTTGTAACAAACAGGCCTCGAGGGAGGGGGTCAGACTAGAGAGATCCACAACCCGTGATGAAGAAACATCATACACATCAGGAAACCTTGCCCTGGAAAGGGGAAAGTGAGGCACATCCCTGGATTCAGGTCTKGGGGGCGAGCTTGCTGGCGAGCACCTGGTGGTTGAGCCTTCAAAGTTGGGTGTGATGGATGCAGGGCGGCAGACAAGGGAAGGTCCCTGACTGTGCTGAGTCCTGGCAGCACAGACTGAATGAGGAATGTCGACTCACTTGCAGGTAGACTCCCACATACTCGGGCRCACTGTGCGCATTCCATGAGCCGCGTGGACTCCTCGCATATTGTCCGCGGATGTTTGACACTTCATACTCAAGCGTACTGACCGCAGGACAAATTCTTTAATTTCTCGCAATTTCAGTCATGATGTCAAGGATCAGGAGGAAGAGATAGTTWGAATTTTAGCTTTGAAACAATAAAAGAAAAAAGAAAAGAACTACCTTACCTTGGATCTGAGCTATTTCCTCCCACAAATTTGTTGCTCGCTGAAAGTCTTTATATTCCGTCATTGATGCRTCATAAAGTTTTCGAATCTCCTCCATGCTTTTTCAAGATTTGACTCCATTTCGTCCAAAAATGACACAGATTCTCAACTTTATCAGCTTGGTGTTGCACCCAGAACAGTAACATGGCACTGTGCACACAGCGTACGCGGACGTAAAAAATTGTTCTCCGCGCGGACCAGTCCACGGATGTCCGCTTCAAGACCGCATTGAGTCCACCTCGAGTCCGCGCAGACCAAAGTACACCTGAGTATGTGGGGGCCTTAAGGAGCCAGAGCTTGAGTGTTACCAGCTAGATATGGTTGGGCTCATTTCTGCACACAGCTTGGGCTCTTGAACCCAATGCCTGGAAAAGGGCAAGACTCTATCTTTCTCCGGAGTTGCCCGGGGAGAGAGGCGACAGGCAGGTGTGTTGATACTCACAAGCACCCAGCTGTGTGCCTCTGTGTTGGAGTTCTCCTCTATGAAAGAGAGGGTTGSCTCTCTGCGGCTTCATGCWGCAGGAGGGAAGGTTCTGYCTGTTATTTGTGTTTATGCACCAAACGTCAGTTCAGATTACACATCCTTTTTGGAGTCCTTGGATKGTGTCCTGGAAGAKGTGCCATCTGGGGATTGTTCTACTGGGTGATTTCAATGCCCATGTGGGCAATGATGGAGTAATATAGAGGAAAATGTTTGGGAGGAATGGCCTCCCTGATCTGAACCWSAACAGTGTTCTGTTATTGGRCTTCTGTRCTGAGCACWGGCTGTCCATAACAAACACCATGCTTGAGCATAAAGTGGTCCATAAGTGTACTTGATACTAGGCCACCTTAGGCCAAAGGTTGATGACTGACTTTGTAATAGGGTCATTGGACCTGTGGCTCTATGTGTTGGACACTCAGGTGAAGAGAGGGGCAGAGCTGTCAACTGATCACCACTTGGTGGTGAGTTGGATCTGGTGGCAGGGGAGACTGCAGGACAGACCTGGTAAACCCAAAAGCATAGTTAGGGGGAACTGGGAACATCTGGAGGAGCCCCCTGTCCGTGGGATCTTCAAGTCCCCACATGTTCTGGGAGAGGTCAGGGTCATGGAATCCAAATGGACCATGTTCAAGGCCTCCATTCAGATGAGGCTTCCAGGAGCTGTGGCCTGAAGGTCATCTGTGACTGTTGAGGCTGCAAACAAAGTACCCACTGGTGGACAGATACCAGGTGGCCAGAAGGACTGCCACTTCAGAGGTATAAATGCAAAAACTCGGGCATTGAAGTTATTTGGGGGCCATGGAATAGGACTTTCTGTTGGCCTAGAGGAGGTTCTGGCAAACCGTTCAGCAATACATGATGGTAAATGGACTGTGCTTTCAAAGGCCTTTCTATCCAACCAAGATACTCAAAGCTCTTTACACTAAAAAGTAAAATGATTATAAAATATAGAGTATTTCATGTTGTAATATTGCTTAGATGATTAGATGATACAATGATTATGCTCACATCTCATTTCAGTTTTTCTGTGTTTTTCTGTGGTTATGGGTCATCTTTAGGTTTTTGAGCTCTTTCTGCTGTTTGGTCCACTGGAGCCTGGTTTAAGTAAAGAAGATAAAATCCTACGTACTGTAGGGCAGCAGGACATCGTCAACATCTTCTGGTGTGCCTCCAGACTGAGAGCGACCCAGTCCAATGGAGTGACCTCTGTTCTTCCGGCTTCCTGATCGAGACCTGGACCCCCTCTTCTGACCTTCGCCTTCAAACAACATTCAAGCCAAAATAAGAGAAGTAATATGCCTGACTGGGTCTGSCCTGAAGTTTGAAATCAGGAAAGATTTATAGAGAATGGGTTTGATCCAAAGCAYATTAAACATCACAAACAATCAACACAACAGACATTCTTTCAGCTGAAGCTAAACATTGTTAATTATTTTACTTGATGAACCACCTCTAAATTGAAGAAATAATCTAATTAGTTAGGAGGATTCTTCTTGATGTCTAATTTAGTGTCCAAGTTCTACATGTGGTATTTATAAAGACTTCTAATCCAAACATATTATTTCACTCTTTCAAAAGTGTCATGAAAAACAAATGTTCTTCACTTCAACAGGAAACAGGTTCAGATTGTGTTGGAGGTTTCTGATCTGTTTAAATATGAACCGATGGACAGATGGGTATTTAAGCCTTAGAACTTACCAGCATTTATGTATTCAACACATGTCTGTAAATACTCATTGGTGTCCAGGTCAATCGGGATCAAYGTTGTGTATTTGCTCAGTATGTTGCAAGATTTGCTGGTGTGAATGGCATAGAGCTGGTACTTCCTGCCAGAACCTGGGAATAAATGATATTAAAATGTAGCACAGAAATAAATTATAATCTGTAAATATGTTTTTTGTCTTGCTGTGTTTTTATACTGAATCATACTTTATGTATTCCTGAAACAGAAATGAGTGTAAAGGAGAAAACAAAACTAACTGCTCTAAACTGGAAAATAGGATAAATTATATTACTGCATAAAAAAGCAACACATTTCCACCAAAAAACCTTCTAAATGTCACCATTTAAAGAAAAATATTCTTGGTTTTATTAACTGTGTGTTAGTTTTGACAGAACAGGCCTGATTCTCACAGGTTGATGACCTGTTACAAAACAAAGAAATCAGCCTGAATGAAGGAGTCATTTCAGCCTTTAAAGTTGTATCTTTGGTAAAGGGATAGTTTGACCATTTTAAAGCAAAGTTCTGTTGAATAGCTATAAATAGTTCGGACCTTTATGTAGTATTACTGTGTGTAACACTGGCTGTATGTAGTATTAATATGTGTATACCTGGCTTTATGTAGTATTACTGTGTATAAAACTGGCTGTATGTAGAATTACTGTGTGTAACCATGGCTGTATGTAGTATTACTGTGTGTAACACTGACTGTACATAGTATTAATATGTGTATGCATGGCTGTATAGAATTAATGTGTGTATACCTTGCTGTACATAGTATTAATGTGTATAGACCTGCCTTTATGTAGTATTACTGTGTGTAACACTGGCTGTATGTAGTATTATTCTGTGTAACACTGGCTGTATGTAGTATTACTGTGTGTAACACTGGCTGTATGTAGTATTACTGTGTGTAACACTGGCTGTATGTAGATTATTGTGTGTATACTTGACTGTACATAGTATTAATGTGTGTATACCTGGCTTTATGTAGTATTACTGTGTTTAAACTTGGTTGTATGTAGTATTATTGTGTGTCAGCATGGCTGTATGTAATATTGTGTGTAAGAATGGCTGTATGTGGTATTAATGCAGGTAATCTTGGTTATACATAGTATTACTGTGTGTATTTCTGGCTCTATGTAGTATTACTGTGTGTATTCCTGTCCGTATGCAGTATTACTGTGTGTAACTGTGGCTGTACATAGTATTCCTGTGTGTATTCCTGGTTGTACAGAGTATTACTGTGTGTATTCCTAGCTGTAAATAGTATTACTGTGTGTATTTCTGGCTGTACATAGTTTTACTGTGTGTATTCCTAGCTGTACATAGTATTACTGCATGTAACCGTGGCTGTACATAGTATTGCTATGTGTATTCCTGGCTGTACATAGTATTACTGCGTGTAACTGTGGCTGTACATAGTATTATTGTGTATGTTCCTAGCTGTACATAGTATTACTGCGTGTAACCGTAACTGTACATAGTTACATAGTATTATTGTGTATGTTCCNGCGTGTAACCGTAACTGTACATAGTTACATAGTATTATTGTGTATGTTCCTAGCTGTACATAGTATTACTGCGTGTAACCGTAACTGTACATAGTATTACTGGGTGTATTCCTGGCTGTACATAGTAATACTGCGTGTAACCATGGCTGTACATAGTATTACTGTGTGTATTCCTGGTTGTACATAGTATTGCTGTGTGTTAACTGTTGCTGTACATAGTATTACTGCATGCAACTCTGGCTGTACATAATATTCCTGTGTGTATTCCTGGCTGTAAATAGTATTCCTGGCTGTAAATAGTATTACTGCATGTAACTGTGGCTGTACATAGTATTAATGTGTGTATTCCTGGCTGTAAATAGTATTCCTGGCTGTAAAAAGTATTACTGTGTGTAACCGTGGCTTTACATAGTATTACTGTGCGTATTCCTGGCTGTACATAGTATTACTGCGTGTAACTGTGGCTGTACATAGTATTACTGCATGTAACTGTGGCTGTACATAGTATTACTGTGTGTATTTTTGGCTGTATATAGTATTATTGCGTGCACCCATCACTGTATGTAGTATTAGTGTAACCATCACTGTATGTAGTATTAGTATAACCATCATTGTATATAGTATTACTGTGTGTATTCCTGGCTGTATGTAGTATTACTGTGTGTAACCAGCACTGTATGTGGCATTAATCTGCGTATTCCTGGCTGTATATAATATTACTGTGCATATTCCTGACTGTATATAGTATTATTGCGTGTAACCATCACTGTACGTAGTATTATGGTGTGTATTCCCGGCTGTATATAGTATTACTGTGTGTATTCCTGGCTTTATATAGTATTACTGTGTGTATTCCTGGCTTTATATAGTATTGCTGTGTGTAACTATGGCTATATATATATATATATATATATATATATATATATATATATATATGGCTATTGCTGTGTGAGTACAACAATAGTAAGAACTTAGCAGTCATACAAACGTTCAAATTTTGTGCAGCTAAATTAATATCTATATTTAATAAATTTAGACGCATCCTGGTCAATTCAACCAAGCGCCCAGCTTTTTCAAACCCCACCATCAATCCAACCAATCATATCTTGGGCCAATTACGCCCCAGTGGTGGATCTAGGATTTTTCAGGGTAAGGGGCCACAATATTCATAGAGGGGCCAAGTATTTTTTCATCATAGTTGCACACAACTCACCAGTTTTTGTAAGACTTTTACATTTAATCAGTCACATGTGTTCAAACACTAAAGCTTGCACAGTAAATTCTCCTTATGAAATTTATATGATTTTTTTTACTGTACATAAATAAAATACTCTCAATTACACAACATGTGAGAAAATCTAGCCATCGTTGTCAGTAAAACTTTTTTCTGCAGGATTGTTCAAATTGAAAAAGACCTGTAAGCTTGCTCCATGTTGGACTTTCCTATTTGACTCACTGGCGCTACTCGTGGTTGGAAGGGGAACTGCATCATTGTTCTTTGGCAASGACAGATGAGTGACAGGACAGGGGCCTGTCAGGGGGCCAATCAGATTTCAGATGGGGCCAATGCCCCTGTGGCCCCGCCCCTAGAACCACCCCTGTTATGCCCACAAAAAAACGTCCTACTTGGTGACTGCAGAGACCCTCTTTCTCACTATAAAACCACAGCAGGGTAAACTAGTCGCTGTAGTTTTATGTTTTGTCAACAGAAACTGGTTTTAACTTGTTTTGGTGCTGAAATAAATCAGAAAGTGAGTTTTATACATGTTCTAACCTGAACAAATGTAATTCCTTGTGAAAACTCCTTGACTTTAACATCCTGCAGTCCCTTTCAAACTCACCGTGCTCTATCTCAGACTCCTTCTCCACCATGTGCTCAAAGTCCCGTATGATGGAGCGCCCGGCCAGGTGGTGGAAGGTTTCATTCCACAGGTCCTCGTGAACCTTTTCCTCACGTTCACGCCCACTCAGAAAAGGCTTGATGTCAAAGGTTACCTCCCACTTCATGGGTTTCCCACACAACAGTCCTGACACCACTGCCTTACAGTCTCCTCTACAGTGGTCCGCAGGGCCCAGATCTGACGTGTGAAGATCCTGAGGGGTTTCTGCTTGACACAGCTGGTGTCCATATCCCTCTGAAACATGACAGGAGAAACATTTATTGCTTCTCTGTAGGCTTTGGTATTTCTTATCAGTCAGATATCAGCAAGCTGTACTGCTCCATTGAAAACCACCAGTTATTCAAAGTGTTAGAAATTTAGAACTGGTTAGAAAATAACCACCTGTGCATTATCTCACAGCTCAAACTCTTGAAAGGGAAAATCATACTAACTAAAATAAAGTATCAAATATCCTTTAAGAGAAAAGGTGCAGATGGGTGCCAGCCCAAGCAGTGATATAATCCCACCTGTGTCTCCAATGCTGCCAACAGAGGGGCTGTCAGTGGATGACCTGGATCCATCCTCCCCAGCAGGGTGTTGAGCCACAGGCGCCCCACTGCTGTCATTGGGCTGAGAGGAGTCCTGCAGCTGGGCCTGGAGCTCAGAGTCCTCTTCCTGCTGTGGAGGTGGCTCCTGCTGAGGGGCCGGCATGTGACAGCTGGCAGGTCGTCCTTTACACAGGCTGGCCACATGTGGCTGNAAACACTGTAAAACATCTGTATAAACACAAACACTGTAAAACATCTAGAGAGACAATCATAATTTTCAGCAGATGTTAGCATATTGGCTAAACTGTTCCTATGTGGGTATATTGCGACAGTAGCTGTAGGAATAAAAAAGAGATATGTATCTTTGTACTTTGTAAAGATATCTAGAGTTCTTTAGACTGAGTGGATGCTCCTGCAGTTTTATACTCTTTTATTTAATATCTCAAAGAGAAATGAGAAGGCTGTAGCTACCATGCACCAACTTTGTTCCTTTGCGTTTTTAATGATAAAAGAGAGCAGATGAGAGAAACGTCACCTTCAGCWTCGTCAAAACCCCAACATGAGTTTTATAAAGAGTGATTCATCCTGCTTTGATCTGGTCTCTAACTGGCTGAGCTGATTTGTAAGCATAGTGAGATAATGACCCAGGAAGTGTTGATGAYTTGACCGAACCTCCTCACCTAATGCAATTATCTGGGGGCAGTCATCCATTAAAATGGGGAAGACAAAAGTCAATTATTTCCAGAGAGACACTCTAGATGGGAGTTTCACAGTGTGAAACCTAAATGCAAGCAACAAAACAAAATTATTTCCCAGAGTGCTGCAGATGGGTTGTGCTGCCTGTGCTCCTCTAAGCAAACAGCTGGAGTTCACACTCTGATTTCCTTTTTCAAGCTTTAAAACCAGCTCTGCTTGTTGTTGCCTTTTATTCTGAAACATCTGCACAGATATTGCCTCTGTGACTGATTTGTGATGAATCTTTTAAAAAAAGACATTAAAGCTGCATTGATGTTGCTTTTGAGTCCTCTGATGGACCCACAGTAGAGGTTACATATTGTGAGAAGACATAAGAAATGAAGATTTATTCAACACTTGTTTTAACTTTAACATCAGAGTTTGCGTTATCGGAAAATTTCCCATATTTGACCTTTTTTTTTTACACGGTGACAGAAAAATCTGAAGGCTGTCCGTCATTTTGACAGATTTCAATTAACACTCCTGACCTCTTAAAGGCACAGTGTGTAGGATTTGTTGTTTTCAGCGACATCTAGTGGTTGAGTGGTTGAATCATCCTCCC